CCGATCTGTGCGTTTCCCTACAGGATCAATATGGGTGCTATGAGCACATTCGAGCAAGTACCTTCTTCATCAGTGCGGGTAGGCGCGTTGGGATATTAGATTGCTTACATGTCTATACAGCTCCGTGGACGTGAACAGGCAAGTTCTTCAATGCGAACAGCGATCAAGGTCTGACGATGGCATCTGATATATTCAAGGTAAGTCATATCCACGACAAGATTTTCAAGAGCACTTACGCCGGCTCGCACCAGACCCAACATCATCTTCACGAACGAAGACATGAACAAACTATTAGAAGCAAGGAGACTCCCATGACAAGGTATGCACCGATTTCATACTTCGCGAGTTCTACAGCTGGCTGAACTTCTCCCCATCGACCCTCGGACGGGAGCAGCAAACATCGTCTTTGCGAGCGGACTCATTCTATCAAGCATTCGACGATGCCATTCACACCCCCACATCCATACCGAGGTGGCTTGCCGGTGTACCAGTGGCCTGCTTCGCATGCGTGTCGCCAACCTCGGGCCGTCTCCTAGAGCTCTCAGCAATGCCTACCCACGAAACATCGCGCGATCTCGTCAAGAGCGTGCCTGACCATCATAATATCCCCCGGGTCATGAGCCTGACGACACGATCTGCTCGACCGTCAAAACGTACGGCAATACACGTCGGACCCAGCTTGCACTCCCACACAAATGAGCGACAGGCTACCGGCTGTCTAGCTAGTGTCAGCCCATCTGCATCGTGCGCCCGCAGTGTCATTCGCGCAAGTTCGATACCCGGCGCATGCCTTGAAGATGTAACACGGTGGTAGATTGTCGACCAACATGTCAGCCTCCCAGGGACCTCGATTTTCCGCGTTCCCGGGATGTGCATCGTGCTCTGCTTCACGTCGCTCACGATATCAACCTACACGACCATCACTGCCATTCGCGACAGATTCTAGGACCAGGGTACAAACAAAACTCACCATCACGACATCAAACCTGCATGGTTTGTGTTAGCCCACACCAGATAACGGTCGCGCGGAGTCGTTGCACGCCTTGAAGCGGCCGCACATCCTCCAAGTCCGGCGCCCTCAGCATACTCGCACGATGCCGACTGAACGTAAGCTATAGCGGGGCCATCCTTGCTTACCGTGAAGCTCGTGGGCATGCATGCGCCCATATTGGCCATAGGTACGCCAATGTTTCCTTCCGGGTCTTCATTCTACTGATCTCATCCGATCTTGTCAGAAAACGTCGATCGAGAGCAGACTGGGGAAGACGCTTACCCTGCTTGACAGGTGCGGGGTCAACAAACATGGCGCGTCCCTCCCGCCAGGTTGGCGAATGACCGTCTCCATTGCAGCGAGCTGGTTATACACCAAATGATGCTATCACTGGGGGGCCAGGATGACGTTCAGATAGGCACAGAGCTGGGTTACGATGAGCGGGGAGTGATTGGGAAGACAAATGATTAGGTGGAAGGAAGAGTGACAGACGATGAAAACGAGGTTCGAAATCGGCGAAAATGCTCATTATTGAGCGGGAAAAGGTGAGTACCGATAGACTTGTGTGCTGTAGGATATATAAGTCATATCAGTAGTGTGTTAGAGAGAAGACGAAATGAAAATGGATGGACTTACGGGAACTGGACTTGTGTGCTTCAAAATGACTAGCGCGAGTTTCTTTGTGTATGGACTATACGTTAAAGCCCTTTCTGCACGAAACCAACCCCATCTCGAACATTCTCTGCGGTCGTCCAAGCTGCCGGTAAAACAAATATATTCGCGCGCTCTATACACCGTTTGTCCGTTGACATCCGAGCGTGACGTAGACAACTTCGACTCTCGAGAGTAACTCCAGGTCAGCTATGAGGACAAATGTCAGTCTACGGCCAGTGCTTGCACTAAGGATGAGAAGGAAACGCACCAGGGAAGCCTTCGAGTTCCTTGCCATCAACAAGATACTTCACAGCAATCTTGATCTCTGCAAGGTCGTCGAGCACGTCGAGCTTGGTCAGGTTCAGCGTGTCGTAGCCATTGACGAGGTACGAGTGCTTCATCACCACGAGGTCCAGCCAGCCACACCTCCTCCGGCGCCCAGTCGTCGATCCATACTCTTTCCCGACCTCCTGTAAGTGCACGCCAATGTCCTATGCGAAAGCATCAGTGGACA